AACTTAAACGAATTTAAAGATTTTTAAACGCGGTCACGTGAAAGTGAAAATTTTGACGGCGATACTGGGGAAGATTGATTATATTTTACTATCACGTGACAGAATTTTTACTACGTTTTAAAACGCGTGATTCATCAGTTACATCACCAATCCATGTCTAACAAAAGAGTTCACGAGTACTTCAAGCGAACAGCTAAGAACTGGAATATTGTTGATTTTTTAAACGAATCCATTGAAGAACCTTTCAAACGCAAAATAGATAGTTATCTTAAATCTCTTCAGACAATTATGAACAGCGAACAAGACGTGAGGGCTAATAGAGCAAAGTTTCTCCACGATAATTATAAGAAGGCAAGTTTTTTGTTTGAAATGTTGGAATATGTGGCGTGGCGAAGGATCTGTTCGATTGTTTGTCATTCAAAACTGTTAGTTGAGCCACAAAACAGTGCTGAGGCGCAGATGACCTGCTCGCTTGTCTGTTGCTAAAAAAACTGTTCGTTTATTCAGCACTGTACCCACTAGGGCACTGATGGACTGCTCGTCTGGCTGATGTTTCAGTGGGATAGGAAATACTGGTCGAAAATTAATACTAATTTCCAGAATTTTCGCGCTAGAAATCTAGACCTGATTGTACAAAAGCAAAAGAATGGGAAGAAAAGCGTACGAAGAAGCAGGTTCATATCTACCAACCAAATCTAAACGCGAGGACCGTAATAAATGAAATAAATGGTGGAACATTTGAAAGTATAAACAGCGAAGCAAAATTTACGTCAAAAAAAAGAGATCATAAGGTTTTAATGCGTAATTTATGTAATTTATGAGAATTGTGGCCCATTTAGTCTGATGATGATTTCATGCCCATCCGTGAACCAAGGCGGAAAAAGCAGTTATCTATTTCAAAAAAGTTAGGGCATAACAATAAAAGTCTTTTGATATAAAATGTTGCCTTGAAATATATGCGACTTTGTTTTTAACGACTACTTTGATATCTATAGAATAAAGAATCTAAGGAACAAGCTAACTCCAAGAGGGTCAGTATGGAATGCATCTCTGTGATGATAAAGATTTGTTTACAAAATTTATTTCTGTAGGACGAGGTCGATGTTTTTTTCCAAAGTCCCTCACAAACGGAATGCAATGACGATGACAACTCTCGAAAGATGTCTATTTGTGATTACGAAAAATATGAAAATCCCACGCTAAATTAGATGACTCCAATAAGTGGGTGCTCACAACCGGAACCGTTGTAGAAGACGCTCTTTATGGCTTTGGCTTACGTTGTAAATATGAACAGTAAGTTTATATGTAAATAATTTGCTTACACTCTTCAGGATGTATGAATTTTACTCACACTTTATCCCTATATAAAAAGTCTTGCTTATTCGTTTATCTTGGACCCTGACGACGATACTTACCTGAAAGAAAATGGATTCACCGAAAGTGAATTACGCGAAATTCGCCAGTTTCAAGTCAAGGAAACGCCATTGATGCCTCTTGACTTGATTAAGTATCTAAATAGCTTCAACCTTGTAAGTCTCATTTCTTTATTAAATATCATATAACTTTTTTTTTTTTTTTTTTACAAACAACTGGCATGTTGTTTCAATAGAAAACCACTTCAGAAATTCGGAAACAAATCTTTAGTCCTGATCAAATGGATCAAGACTTCAATAGGTCAAGAGATTTTGATAGAGACTGGATTCGAAATATAATATATAATTTGTATGTAATAACTTTATTCATTTTAAGATTGGATACTAAGTTTGCACTCCCATTTCACAGATTGCAAGAATATGAATTGAATACTTTAACGACGGATCACCTAGAACTTTGGATACTCGTTCATGTTTGGAGCTTCACCGATAAAGTTTTTAATGATATTGAGGAAGTGAAAGTGGTCAGGTAAGAAACATCCAATTAGTTCTCAACTTTCCATGATCTAAATAATTTTTTGCAATAGAGGGGAGTCGTGTAGCCTGTCGTCATCAGCACGAAAAAATCGTGAAAGAACCGTGCCTGGAATAGCAGATATGAAACGAAAAGCGCTTGGAAGAAGAGGCGATATGATTATTCGTAAGATAACAGCAGAGTTTGGGTGTGCAGAAGCAGGTCGACAATTTGAGGGTGAGAATGGTACGAAGCTGTTGCATGAAAGAGGCCTTAAAATGCCTAAAATGTTGAAGGACATGTTTAAACACTTATGTGGAACTTTCAACCACGATGATCATAACCCGCCAATTGGAAACGATTGGTTTCCTTCATGCTGGTATGTTCTTTTTACTTAACATTTATTAATCCTATTTTGTTGCTTACTTTGATCGCATTTTTCTAGGGCTTATGATGGTACTCCTGCGCCTGGACTCACCAGCCGGATATGTGTGTCGTGTGTTACGATCAAAATCTTTTTCTATCGCTACAAATATTAAAGAATTTGGAAAGACACTTCCTTTAATTTCTTTAGCATGGAAGGCTAAAGTAAGTACTTGTTGTTATTTTAAGTTCTGTTCTTCGCATCTGACAAACTTATTCTTGTAGAAGATTGTTGAAAATATGATCAGTTTGATTGAACAAACTAATGAAATCGATGAAAGTAGCGAAGAAGACCAATTACGACGTTTACAGGATGTCTACGATATTACACCGCTGCCATCACGAAAACGAAAAAAGATAGATTTACCAACATGCTTGGATACTCCATCAAAATCGTCAAAGAAAGTCAAAGAAATTCCGCTTGGCATGGTCTATTATTTATTTAACTTTGCATGAAAAAGTATATGTTTATATCTTTGTATTTTGTATTAGATCTGCTTGGACCACCACCACCATTCAATCTTTTATCAAGCATAGTACCTTGTCCAGATCTTCAGTGTGAGGGAGAAAATAAAGTTACTGCCAAATTTTGTTCGGATTGTGGAAAGCCAATCAATGGAATGAACACAATATATCCGAAAACACAAGAAACACGGGAGGAATTAATCTGATGTTCAAGACAATCGATCATTTTGTGAAGGTGTAGTAATAATGGGAAAATAAAAATATTATATCAATGTTAGAGTGTTACATTACACTATGAGGCTTTATGTCGGTTTTTCTTTATGTATTGTGATGCTACATGCGGGTGGTTTGGTGCATCAGAAAAATAAAAAAGTTTATATGCCAATTTTTTTATGAGTAATAGAGTTTCCGTCATCCATTTATCCATATACAAAATTTATCTGGATATCCATTTACAATTAATATCCAGATAATCCAACAGATATCCGGATAATTATCCGGATATCATTAGTAACCATCCAAATATATTCGGATAATGGATATCCAATGGATAAACGGATAATGGATTGGAACTCTAATGAGTAATCGTGTTTATTGTACAAACATCAAATATGTACGAACTACTAATCCATGTATTTTTGATCGAAATTTTTTTAATGATCGGCGTTCTTTTTCGGAACGCGCACGTGATTTTTTATTTGGATTTTTTTCAGATGTTCTGTCTACAAATTATGTATAACGATAACGATAAATTTTGTTTAAACAACTATCATTATCGCTTATTTTTATTATTTGAGAATTTTCATATTCACATCGTTTATATATTCCGTCTGCTACTTTTTTGCATGTTTTGCATTATAGGTGTGAATGATTATTGCATTCGTTGCAAACCTTACACCCGTGCTTCCAACCTTTAAAGATATGCCACTTTTCAATGTAATTTGTTTATTAACAGAAAAAAATAATATATATACGTGGCTAAAACCTGTAATGTGTGACACTTGTGTTGTGCCTGTTTACAAATAAACTATACAGTGATAAGCCTCATAACGATAAGGCCAAACTTGTGTGTGGGCAGGGCGTTTATAAAACGCAAGAAAATCCAAATTCATGAAAAAAAAAAGTAATATAGACTGTGACCTTAACTACCAACAAAACACTAATAAAATTTTCACAATCACGTGCCGATCAACAAGAGTTAGCCAATACTTAGTCTTTTTCTAGCCTTTAAGTGAAATTTAAATCTAACTTTAAAGAGTCGCGGTATCACGTGATAATGGCGCGGTAATAGCCGATCATTTTGATTTATTTATAATGCTAATTATTATATAAGTGACTTAACTTAGTATTGATTGGTTGATCTACAGTAATTACCTGTAATACAGTAAGAGATTTTATCAAAAATGAACAATGTAGATTGCATATATAGTATAAAAATGTTGATTACATGATTTTAGATTATTTGGTTATATGAAAATCACATGTAATTGACCAATCAAAGTTAATTACAAAATTCAGACCTTTTTATTTTTTTATAATAGTTTATTGCAAAGAATAAAATATGATTATTTAAAGTAGATATTTTATATTAGCTATTTATATATTGTTTAATATCAAATAAATAAATAAAATCTTATAATAATAAAAAAATATTATATAATTAATCAAATATATAGAATAATAAAGATTATTTTAGAATGTAATTTTCTAATTTAGTAAAATTCTTGATTGTAACAATTAAGTAATATTTTTTAAATTTTCTTATTAAGATAATCTATATAAATTAACTAATCAAATTGAATGATCTATATAAATTGGCCAATTAAATTGTAAAATTTTTATAAAACAAAAAAAACTAAAAAACCTTTTTAGAAAACTAATAAAAAATATTAGTAGTCAAATTTTATCTATAATTTTTGTTCAATAACTAATTTTTGGACAATCTTAATTCTAATTTTAATTGTTTTAGTTTAATATTTTTCAAATAAGAAAATTTAAAAAACAGTTTAGTAATATTAATCTATTGAATAGTTTGAAATATATTATATAATAATTATTTTATAATACAAGTGTGAGAATAAAAGTATGCATTAATTTACAAATATGAATATTGTTAATCTGTAGTTTTTCTTTTAATTATAGTGATAACAGAAGCTGTTCAACTATAGTATGACAACTATAACTTAACAAGTTTTATACAAAGTCTACATAAGACTTAATAGAATACAGAGTGATTTGTGATTTTAAGACAAAGACAATAATAAATAATATATGAAAATACTAAATATTGTATTTAATTTATTCACTATTGAAATATATAAAGATATTTAACTTTCTTAAAGAATCAGAAAGTAGTGTTTTTATAGATATTTTATATATATAAATTATTACAATAAAGTTAAGTTATTTCAATAGAATATATTAAATATAGTAATACATAATAAGAAATATTAAAGATATAAAAGAGATATGCTATATATTATATATAAGAGATATTGTATATATAAGAGAAATTTAATAAATAATATATAAATGATATATTTAAAAAATTTAATATATATGATATTTATACTTTTTGAGAGATTTGAAAGATTTAGGATTTAATTAATTTAACTATTTATATTCAAGTCATATGTACTAAAATTAGTACTTCATCAAAATTATTCTAATCTTATAATTTCATAATCAGAATTATATGATTTTGTACTTATTAGAACAGTTTTAATAAGCTGAATCTAATAATAGTTGTTTTATTCAAATTGGTTTGATACATCAAAAGTTATGATCAAAAATGTGTAAACTTTAATATTAATATTCTTTTTTATTTAGTTTGAGCTCTACAAAAATTTATAGTAGGACATGATAATCTGCAGTAGACAGATTATTAATCTTAAAGAGTGTTATATTAGTAGTTCAGAAAATTTGTTCAATTTTAAAACTTTCAAAAATATTATAAACTCTAACAGAAACTTTATAATAATAAGTAGAGACTTTTTATTATATTATTCTTCTCTCTAAAGAATTTTTTTCTATTAGTTCACCTAGGTAATAGGCATAGGCTAGTTGTGTTTTCCTTATATAAAATTGGGTTCTAAGTAACTTGTTTCGAATTTTTACAATTTGTCTTATAAACTTAAAGTTTTATCAATTGGTCTTAGTATTGTATTAGAATACAAAGGTGTAGTGCTAAGAAGATTAGCAAGAATCTTATTGAAATTATTGTTTATTGTGAAAGAGTATTATTTCTATTGATAAGAGATAGTGATTGATTAATAACAATCATAAAATTTCACAAATACCTATTATAATATTTTTTTAGCAACAAGGTATTAATTGGTATTTCCAAAATATTGACTTTTAAGGTTCACAATATATAAACATTTGATGTAACTTTTTTATACACAAAATAAGATCCTTTTCATTTAAATAATAGTTTGTCAAAATAATGTTTGTTTCTCATGACATTATATAAGAGAACCTTATCTTCTTTTCTAAAGATTGGTTTGACTTTTTTGTACTTTTTGTTATAATAGAATTTTTGTCAAATTTGAGTTTTTTTAATGTTGTTTTTGGCTTTCTCTTGTGCTTAGAATAATTCTTCAATTAAGAAAAATAATTGAATAAAAAAGTTTTCTTCTAGTGGGTTATCAATATTAAAGTTTGGAAATTTTGCTTTTTTACTATAAGTAAGATAAAAAGATGTAAACTTGATAGTAAATTGTTTTGCAGTTTAATAAGCAAATAAAATAGATAAAATAAAAATATTCTAATCTTTATCTTAATTTGTTAATTTTGCTAAAGATTTATATAATATTAATTAAATCTTTCAACTAGTCTATTAGTTTGTAAGTAATAAGAGGTAAAGAGTAAGTGTTAGATTTCAAATTTTTAAATGGGCATTTTTACTAACTTATTATTAAAATGTGTTTCTCTATCTGATTGCAAGTATGTAGGGCATCCATGTTAACAGATAATATTTTTATAGATAAAATTTACTATATTTTTGGCATCAGCTTTAGATATAGCTTTTGCTTTTAGTCATTTTGTTATATAGTCTGTAGCAACTATAATATACTTGGTTTGTCAAGTAGTAATAAGTAAGGATCTAACAAAATCTATATCAATTCAATAAAAAGATGCTTCTATAAGAATTGGTTAAAAAGGTTCAGGTATTCAGTATTTTTCTATCTTTTGACAAGTATTACATATTTGAACATAGTTTTTAATATCTTTATACATATGTGACCAATAATATTTGTCTTGAATTTTTTCAAACATCTTATTTGTTTCAAGATATGCTCTAATTGTATAATTGTATATTAAGTAGAGAATTGGTTTTACTTTATGTATTTGGGTTACTTTAAGTAATTGATAGGTATTCTGTTTTCTTTAGTCTTGTTTGTAAAGTAAATTGTTCTTAATAATATAGAATTTACTTTAAGATTCTAATTGTTTTCTTTGACTTCTTGTAAAATTTATAGGAAAATTTGCTGTTTCCAAGAAGTACTTAAGGTTATGATAAGTAATAGTTTCTATTTTTAACTAGATTGCTAGAACTAACTATTTAAACTGAATTTTCTTTAATATCAGATTTGTCTTAATAGGAAGGTGAATTAAATATAATTATAAAAGTGTATAAAGCTTTAGTCATACTCTATGCAGTTCTAGACATCTATTTACTTTAGGCCTAAGAGAAAACTAAACTATAAAAATAAGTATACTATATATATATAAACTAATAAAAATAACGTATCAATATCTAACTAATAAATATAATATTCTAATATAATAATAAAAATAAGTATAATTATTCAAAAAGAGATAAAAAAAAATTCTATTTTCAGTACTTCAACTAAGGGCCTTACAAAACTCAGATTCTAGCAGAAAGCTTACTCTAGCCAGTCTTGAATATATGATCTATACTGCCTAATAATATGTCTTATACTGTTAATCCATACTAGAAATATTACTAAATTTCAAATCTGTACACTTTTTAGAGATCATTAGAATACTTTAAGTGTTCAATAAGATACTAGGATTTCATATAATTTGCAATTATGTGATTTACAAATCTTTACTATTCTAAATTTGTTAAATCAATTTCTAATTGATTTCTAAATTTGATAATTTAACTTCTAATTGATATCTATTTTTGTTTCATTATTGGCTATTAAAAATTATAATTTTTTTGTCATTCCTCTTTTTT